GAAGTATAAGCTAAAAGTTTAGTTTACTGATTAGCTAAATACAAATTTCGTCTGATGAAGCCGAGTGTTTTACTTGCCTTGGAAATTATAGCATCAATGTGCTCATTCCACGTAAGGTTAGACGACAAATACACACCCAGATATTTGAGCGTAGAAACGTTTTCGATGGCTGTGTTATTAATACAATACGAATTTAGATGCATGTTAGTAGACCTAGTAAATGTCATAGCTTTTGTTTTGAAAGCACTTATTTGCATTTGCCAATTGTCGCACAGGTTAACAATATTATTCAGGTCGGTCTGTAAAGTATTAGAATCTTCAGAGGTGTTAATTTTTTTTGTAAATTACGCTATCGTCGGCGAATAACCGAACGTTAGAACTTATGTTATTGCCTATGTCATTAATATAAACCAAGAATAAAATTGGTTCCAGTACAGAGCCCTGAGGCACTCCTGATTTGACTTCGGTTAAGGGGGAATCGTGGTCGTTTACGGAAACGTATTGATAGCGCTTGGTTAAAAATGCTGCAATCCAATTGAGTACGCTGCTGTTTATTTTAAGCCGGGCAAGTTTCATCATTAGGCGTTTATGGGGTACTTTATCAAACGCTTTTGCAAAGTTGATAAATATGGCATCAATTTGGAATGACTCATGAACGGCCTGATGTAGGTCGGTTATAAGCTCAAATAATTGGGTTTCACACGAACGCCCTCGAAGAAATCTATGCTGATGAATATAAAAAAAGTTGTGCTTTGTAAGATACGTCATAACGGCTGATGATATGATATGTTCTAGAATTTTGCATGGTATGCTTGTTAAGGAGATCGGTATATAATTTGAAAGTTCTGATCTGTTGCCGGATTTAAATACGGGAACGACGCGTGCGATTTTCCAGTCATCCGGTATGATACCGGTGTCGAGTGACTGTTGAAAAATGGCGGCTAAGATACAAGCTATAATTGGTTTAGTCATTTTGAGCAGTTTTGGACAAATGCCATCGGGTCCTGGGGCGAAACTATCCGAAAGTCGATCTATGGCACATTCAATTTCTTCTGGTGTGATGGTAATGCCTCTCATAAAAGTCAAAATAGAAGCTGGGTGAAGTTCAAGTGGTAGTGGGCTTTCATCGGTGATTGATTGATATGTAGGGTTTAACGTCCCAAAACCACTATATGATTACTTTCATCGGTGAAAACAGAGATAAAAAAGAGTCAAGTTCAGTCGCAACCTCGGATGGTGAAAGTAATTCGCCTTCTTTGACTATATCTATACTCACTTGTGAGTTCCGTTTGGGATTGATCATATTTCAGAATTTTTTTGTATTATTTTTTAACATGCTGACAATACCATTATTATAGAATTTTTCTTTGGAATCTTGAATTGAAGATTTGCAGTTTTTTGATGCTTCGCGATAGCGTTCCCAATCACCATCCGAGTTAGAGGACTTGGCTTTTGAGTACGAGCGTTTCTTCTTATTTATTGCTCTTTTTACGTGTGACGTGAACCATGCGCTTTGAGCTGATGAAACAATTTCGACCTTGGGATGTGCTGATGCTTTAGTTCGACTAGTTTGTTTTTGACACAGATCCAGTTATCATTAACAGTGCGGTTACGCATTGTGCACAAAAATTCAACACAAAAATATGACAACTTTTGGAGGATAAGATCAACATTTGCGCGTGCGTAACTGTAGATAGTTTTCTTTGACTGCACAGGTTTGTTATTTTTTAATGCATATTCACAGTGGAGAACATTATGATCACTAATAGATTCCAAAACACGGACAGTCAATTTTCCCTGCTCGGTAGTTAATACCAGATCCTAAATGGCATCGCCATGTGTGCATTCACAAACTATTTGTTGCAAATGAAATAAAGAAAGCACATCTAAAAATTTCTTGCATTCGTTCTTTCTTGTACCGCCCAGAGGTGTGTAGGATTGCCAATCTATCGCAGGGTAATTAAAATCACCACCTAGAATAATTGGTGATGCTGGGTATTTGTCCTGCATAGCGTCTAAAGAATCATTTAAATTTTCCACAAATTCTTGAGGGTAATCGGGTGGGTGGTAAAACACCCCGACGACACAAGTTACAGAAGGGCACATTTCAATCAGAACCCACAGAATTTCTATATCGCAACTCGTGGGAACAATGCGAGCACGAAACGCATTTTTTATGGCCACTACTACTCCACCACCGCGTGCGGCCACTCGGTCTCTCCTGAATATCGTAAATGCTTTAGAGAGTGACAGTTTGGTATTGTTAATTTCGGGAGTCAACTATGTCTCTGTGCCCAGAACAATGTCTGCCGAACATGATTCTACAAATGCAAATAACTGATCTTGCTTTGGAAGCACACTACGAAATTTGCACACTAAAATTGATAAATTCTTTGCTGCCTTAACGGTTTCATGTCAGTCACCAATAGTATCATCTTCCCCTCCTGAATTATCCACTCTGTGTGAAGGTGGCATGCTTGACGTAGATTCTTCGTTCATTGGAAGACAGACTATCTCATTTTTTGCTGAGTCGAATGAATAACACTTGTTTCCAAGAAGCAGTTTATCAAAGACAACCCTGTACTTCTGATTTTGGGTGCGGTTCTCCCGAGCGAAGTCTCGCAGTTTTTTTCTCACAACTTGTAATCGTCGCGAGAAGTCTTCCTCAATCCATACGCGAGGTTCTTTTAACTTCTTTAGCTTAGAAGCGTTCGTTAGAATGTTGTTTTTATCTTTGTAGTTCAATTATTTTGTCACAATTGGGCGACTTTGTTCTGGTTTGGGCCGGCCCACCCTGTGCGCTCGCTCGATTTCTCCTGCCTGAATGCCTAATTGAGCAGACACGAATTCCGTAATCAAACGTTCCGTATCTGCCCATTTTTCATCTGGTTCCTCGGAAATGCCCTTGAAAATCAGGTTGTTTCTTCGCATTCGGTTATTTAAGTCGTCGACTACAAATTCGGTTTGTTCTGGTTGTTTAGTCTTAATGGTCTGCAGCTGTACCTGGGATTCTTGAACGGCTTCGTTAACACTGGTGACATCCTGACGCAGGTTGTCGATTGCGCTTAGTTTGCCTTCCACTACACTGAGCCGCCTTTTAATGTCGGTAACGTTCGTTTGAATGTCCTTCAGCTTTATTGACGTCTCCTTGTGAAATTTTTCATTTGTCTGTGATAGTTCTTTTAGGAAGGAAATAACTTGGTCTATTTTGTCTGGACCAGGATTGGTCTCAACATCTTCCGCGCAGATTATCAAATGGGCGACACAGAACAGCACCAAGAAACACCGTCCTCCGGAACGACAACAATCAGTGAGTAAGGCAGGCCGTAATCATACATGGGAACGTGACGTGTTCAATTTACAGCGAGCGAAGAAACAACCAATCCTCGCACGGTACGCAGACAGATCACAACCCATCATTCATTACACTTCACTTGGGATTTGCAGCAAGAAGTTTGGAAGTGTTAAATAAAGCACTAGGCTTTACACTCACCCAAAAACATGAAATTAGCGGTGTGAGCTGAGCCCTTCTCTGTAAATCCCGATGGCTCACTGACGATGACCCCTTAAGTAGACGATCGGCATGGGGGCGCTGCGTGCGATGTCGACCAGAGTCGTCTGCGGCGCAGGTTGCGGCGCAGATCACCAACGTGTGGGAGGACCAAGGATGTTAAACCCCACTTATCAATAAATCATTCTTACAGTACTTTTACTTACTCTCTTCACAACCTTATGCATAGGAGAGGGGGAATCTCATGGCTTGATATACATGTACGCCATCTGCTTAACCTACCGTCGATAGTGACGTCAAAAAGAAAAGCTGATACATGTGCCCCCCCCCCCCCCCTTCTCGGTTCGGTGTGAATCCCCACGAACCAAACTGCAAGCTACGCTCCTGCAAACGGCGTACTTAGAGGCTCCCCAATTTTTTAAAATTTTTTTGGCAACAATTGCTATGGGAGGATGATTCTACTCTTTAGTGAGTGAAGGGCAATAGTTTATTATAAAATACGAGGCTGCAATATTGAAGGCGTTGAACGACGTTGCAGTTTGAATAGGTCGCGAGAAGTTGGGGTGAATGGAAGTAAAAGTGTACCAGGCAGGTGAGAAAAGTTGAGATATAACTCACGGTATTTTTTATTTTTTACACAGTAGTGCAAAAAAAGCAGGAAAGGATGGATATAAAAACACAAAAAACAAAAGATTTAAACTTTCTGTGTAGCAAGCGTGAAGATGATGCTCATGAATTGCACTCTGTGATTGTTCGAGGTATAAGCTGAGTCAGGAAAGTATGCATCTCACCCCTAAACGGGGAAGTAGGAGATATAATTCGTAGAGCGTCATGCGTGCGTGTGAACAAACCCCGCACAAAATGAGTCAGGTAGCAGGAGTTCGGGATGCTATTTCTGATGTCGATTGCTAACGATAACGCGTCGCAGAGACGAACATTTTGCAATTGAAAACAGATTCTTCGCTGAACGCAGTTTCGCTGGTTCTCAAATAATAAAAAAATTGTTCCATATTTTCCTTGCAGTGTAACACACTGCAAGGAAAATATGGAACAATTTACACTGCAAGGAAAATATATTGTCCTTGCAGTGTAACACATGGCCTCGATGCCTTCTTAGTTTACCAAGGCGGAGAAAACGTTTATTGACCAATAGCTAATGAGTAAAGGTGGGAGTGTCCCTTATTGCAGCAACGCCTAAACTAGTTGCTAACTGATGCAGTTATCAGATTCAAAGAGCGAAGTTGTGAGTCTTGCACACTATACATGAGCTAGTGATCTTCAGGGATCAGTGAACTGTTGCCAGTGTAACATGGCAAAGCCTACTGAAAAACACTCTGTATACCTCATTGAACTGTCTGACACTTTTGCAGAAATAAAGACTTCTGTGTGGTTAGTGATAGATGCCAGCTAATATGCATGACTTGCTGATGTTCATCAGGAAGAAAATAGCCAGATATGATGATGTTAAACGGCTTGTTTGCCTTTACAGTTACGGCAGCACGCTTCCAGCCAGCTGGGAGACCTTACAGAAGCTACCACGTCTGAAGACCCTCGGGCTGGTGAAAATGAGTGGTCTGAGGCTTGGCCGAGACTTCGGCCGCCTACCGCGCACTGTGCGGGGCGTAAGCGTGCTCCATTCGAGCGTCGAAAGCATTGAAGACGGTTGGCTTTCAGAGCTTCCATACCTAGAGTACGTCGTGATCCGGGATTCGAAGCTCGCACTCTTCTCCCGGAACATGCTACCCACCCCAGCGCTCAAACTGCGAAGCATCGACCTCGAGTAAGTACACCTGCCGCTACTGGGCGTCGAGGAGCCTACTTTAAAAATAGAAGATGAAAGGAAGCTATGTCTACAGCATATAGCAAGGAATATTTGGCAGGCAAACACTTATTTGAGTGAGAACCAAGAGAGAATTGCATTTCAAGTCATTTTAATTTGTGTCACGTGTGGTATTGGTCAATTATTATTTATGGGTGTTCATAATAACCTTCTTGGTTATTTTGTCAAGTTTTATTGTTTTATTTTGTAACTTATATTTCACTTCTTTATGTTGCCTCTTTCTATTCTTACTCGCACCTTCGGGTAATGTGCTCAAGAACTTTCAGCGAATCTGCTGAAAAACTTCCATCACCACAGAGCCTATCTTCCACATTCATTTCCCGCGAAGTACGTCTGCCCACTTGATTCACAGCCCAAATACACATATCCACCTCACACAGAGAGAGAAAGAGAAAGATATGTAATTCATTGAAGGTAAAGATGCAGTGTAAGCTCGTGAGCTCTTGCGTGGCACTTTGCGCCAAGAAATAAAGGAAAAGGTAAAAAGTCGGTGATGAATGTGACCAGGGGGAGAAAAAAGTTGCGTGTATCTACAATAACCCGAAACGTGATGGTTTCACTACAGTCTGGTGTCCAGTACTGTGCTCTTGAAAACATAACAGTTATGTTAAACAGATACCATAAACATATAAGCATATGTAGCAGTTGTTCAATTTGCGTTATGGCACACTTCTGAAAAAAATACCTTTTCACTTAGCATTGCCACACAAATCTTTGCCAGTGTTGAATATCATGACACCCAAAGTGCGCATTCATAAAATTGTTGCTCTGTTGCTTGACACATTTAGCAGCATTTACAGTTCAGGCAGTCTGCATGGTGGATGATGTTGCGTGGCGTTGGGTGAGCACAACGCCATGTAAATTCTTTGTAGCAAAGTGGGTTAGCTTCGCTTCATACTACTCTAGAGGCGAGATGTCAATTCGGAGCCTATTTCGCACAGATTGATGGGCCGACTGAGACGCCTAAGTGGTTGTGTAGCAAGGCGTGGGTTCAGACAAGTTGGTTCATACTTGAGGTGAAAAAGACGAGCACTATGCGACGGGAAGATAGACGAAAGAAAGCGTCTGTCCTGCGTGCCGCTTGGCTATGTCTCTGTTTAAAAGCGTTCGTGTGCTTCGCATTGGTTGTGTAGGATAACAACGTGTCGAGGTCACTTCGCGAGTATATTACTTCCATTCCGATGGAGGGGGGGGATTATGCACGGTGACTCTGGCTTACCATCATCGAGCTTGTTGCATGCCATGCCACAGTGTTCAGGAATACATTGTAGTGTATAATATCGTGCCCGGCTTGAGTGATGAACTGGCATTGAGGAATATGCGTAAGATACTATTTTTCATTTGCGTGGTGTTTGGCCCGACACTACTTACATTGCAATTCTACGAAACTTACAAGCATTTTCCTATGATCTCTGCAGTAGCATGAAGCACATGTGTCGTTTTTACACATTCGCAGTAGTGAAATGTCAAATCAATGCGTGAGCCTCTGTGGGTAACTTCTGTTCATTATAAGTTTGAGAAAATCAGCAAAAACTTTGTCATCAGGTCGACAAAAATTCGAAGTATGGTTTCGACGTGCTTCACATTCTTGCAACGTTTGAAGCCCCTCCCACTCTTTTTGAGTTTCTATTTTTTACCTTCGTGAATTCCGCATAGGCGATGTGAAGGAAGTACATGCTTCTCTACATTCACTTAGCGGGCGTACTTACGTGGGCGTGGTTACATGGAGATAGTGGCTCACATCTCTTTTTGAACAGATGTTGGAGGTTTCGGCCTTCAACTCTGCCTCATTCCACTTTCTTGTTATGTAATTTATTATGATCTCTTACGCTTATTAGTCAGCCATGGTACGCTAGCGGCTGAAGATGAGCGGTGAACAACACTTCATCCTCTCACTACTTTTACCTGTAGTTGCAGTGCTGGTTCATTTTTCTTTTCCTAAGAAATATCACTCAACCGGGGCCAGCATATCGTTCACCTTCCAACTCTTCGTTACCACTTCTCACTTTTTTTTTTCGAAACTAAACGTGTCGACGCGTGAGTTTCCTCGAGCATGAAGCTGCTCTTCGGCAGATTGGCATTTTTCTCAAGTACCAGTGACGACTTTCTTCTTTTCTCTAAGCTACAATGACCTGAGGGCCATTCCGGCTGGCTTCGGTGATGGCTTTCCGGCTCTGGCATTTCTGGACCTGGAGGGAAACAAGATCACCACCATTGAGGAGCGCCACCTCTCCGGTGTACTCAACGACACCAGCACTGTTGTACTGCTTGGAAGTAAGTCACCACGCGGCAGTTTTAAACCACAGGAGTGTCAACATTAAAACAAATTACGACCCGGTGATTAGATATTGTGCTGACAAAAAAAACGAGCCATCATCTGTTCTAACCGTCAGCGCTGTAGCGTTATACAAGTATTCTTTTGGTTTTAGGTCTGACAACACCGATATCTGCGTGCTTGACGCCATAGCGCAGTACGCCAAAAATTGTGCACAATTGTGTTCTTTCTGGTGATTCTAATCTAGGTAGCACGGCTTCATGAATTTCTCTGCCACTGAAATGGGACTTGTCTCTTATTTCTCGATAAAGAAACTTGTTTTTCTTGTTGTCTTCCAACGCAGCTAGCTCCCGGCACATAAGAAGTATTCAGCATTGTTGTCCTGCATTCAGACTTCAGCTATTCCAAAATGTAACGCAAAAGCACAAAAAGCTCTACAATCGTCACCTGGTGTCACACCGCAGAAACGTCTCGGCCCGCGAACGATGCCCGTTTTGCAGAGTGGTGCCATGTTGCGGCAGCTTTGGGCAGCTGGCAAAGTTGTCTTCTAGCGTGACTGTGAAGTTTCGTGACGGCACAGGGGGGCGCTGCGAAATGCCTTCTCTCCCCTCTCTTTTAAGAGGAACCAAGCACGCTTATGGGGTTGGCTCAAATATCTGGTACTTATCATGGTGTCTGCCGCCGGTGTCGTTTCGTAGGCGAAGTTATTCCATAAGTGCTCCTTGGCGTACATCAGTTTTGCCCGCTCTACCAAAGGTAATGCGCAATGTATTTTATAAACGTCATTAAAGTTAACGAACTAATGAATAATTGAAGCACAGTCACGAAATTGTTGTTTATTCTTAAGCCAAAAGCCTCTAGTAAGGCATCCGCGGGTCACATGCGACCTACAAACCGCGTGTTTGATACCCCTGTTCTGATACAACGCTGGTAAACTGCGCTCACAATGAAGGAGCACTATCACTGCAACTTTTCGCGCCCTCTACAATGATGAAGGCATAAACTCACAATTTCGCTTGCACATCAGTTCTCCAGAAGTCCGCTAGGTGGAACAAAGTTAGATATATAGATATGTGGGGTTTAACGTCCCAAAACCACCATATGATTATGAGAGACGCCGTAGAGGAGGGCTTATGTTACTTTCGGTTACTTATGTTACTTTCGTAGTGAAGCACACTGCGTGCTTTCAAAGACCTGTAAATGAAAGTGCACATGGTGCGCCGACGGTTCTTATTGCAATGAACCCCATTCATCGCAGTGTGGCGGTATTTTTGTAGGATTATTGTTTCGGAAATAGATATACTTAGCTTCTGTTTGGGACTTGTATCACTACACGTATTGAGAATTTGTTGGTCGTGTTGTTGGTTAGAAAGCACGGTGACTTTAGCACTAAAATCTTCGAACTCACGTGAGAGAAAGTGCCTGCCCTGTGTGTGAAATTTTTTTGTCTTTTTCAGCACTAAGCTCATCATGTTTGCTAACCCTACATGCAGAAGCTGTGGACATGCGAGGGTATTGTGAAAGGACAATAGTCGTGACAACCCCCTCTCCCTTTACGTCACGAATACCCACGCCCCTTATCATGTGTTTCAGTTAAACGCAGTATATATGCAGGCTTACTACGCTTAAGGTTCGATTGTTCGTGCAGGTTTAAGTTTTTTAAGGGTAATTTCTTTAGAGACAGCATTCTAAACCAAAGAGGATGCTTATCTCAACTGACGTTTAGGCAAGATATACAAGCCGGCTATTCGAAATAAAAAAGAGGAAATATCACATGTGAATTACTTGTATTTGCATAACTGGCACTATAATCAGTAGCCAGGAAGCAATTGTATTTTTAGCAATAGAAAACACGGCTGCGGCGGCTGCATTTTCAATGAAGCCTAAAATGCTGTAGGCCCGTGTGCTCACATTGCGTGCGCGTAATGAACCCCAAGTGGTAGAAATTTTTAGAACCCTCCTCTAGGGCGTCTCTCGTAACCATATAGTAATTTTGAGGCATTAAACCCTACATATAAATCAATCAAACATCAAGCAATAAGAAAGCATTCACGAGTGGCGATTTTCATAAAAAACATGAGAAACCGAATGTTTGTTGAAAGTTCACAACTATACTACCATGTCTGTAAACGCTTAGCCGCTGCCTTTGCGAAAAGTGCAATAATCTGCCACTCGCAAATCTCACCAAAAAAGTAAATATCTATAAAAAGAACAAACTAGGAAGACACGAAACAAAATTTTAAATAAACTTCTTGTTTTATTGTACTTGCGCCAACTTAAATATACCTTTTAGGTGTGATAACATATATATATATATATATATATATATATATATATATATATATATATATATATATATATATATATATATATATGCGAGAAACAAATTCGATGGTTCCAGTAGGTAATGCAGTCAAAAAGAAAGACAGCACACCCACGAAACGCAATTTTCACTAGCGCCTGCCCTGTGCCCCGAGGCGCAGGCAGGCCTTTTTGCGGAACATTGCATATATGCAAAGATTTTCCCACGTTCGCCCACCATTCTTAAACGCTTGCAGAAGACTGAACCCCCCGAAGCATTTGTCGATTGTGTATGCCGAAAATTTTAGGTGTGTGTGTTTGTGTGTGTACGCAGAGATTGTTGAAAGTACCACGGTGTCTTTCGCAGAATACCACGGTGTTCATTTGTTTCGCTATTGAATGTACTGTTCTTGTTCGTTTGCACATTTTAGATAAATAAGTGGTTTATCAACCGATGTGAACGGCGTGAGTGAAGCAGAAGATACTGATCTTTGATAGAGAACATCTCGGATTAGATATCGTGAATGCTCAAAGTAGCCTTAGTCTAACTATAAACTTATTCTTCCGAATGGTGCAGACAACTGGCTTCACTGTGACTGCAAGCTGGGCCACCTTCGGCGCCACTCAGACCGCAGGCTGCGGGCTCGGTGCCACACCCCGGAAAAGCTGCGAGGACGCAGCATACAGAGCCTCACGGACATTGAACTGGGCTGCTGAAGGTGCTACACGCCTTCACTGGCTGCGGGTGCTTTCTCTTTACCTCTTGTTATGTACCAGATTCAAAGTCTATCCTGTCTATGCTTTCTGCGGTATTCGCTCCAAGAATTAAAGAAACAGACACATCCCCAAAGACGAGAGCCCACTTCGACTGCAGCAGTAAGAGCCACAAAGAAATAAAGCCTCTCCATGATCGATGATACCTTCGTCAAACCTTCTTGTACTAAACATCGGTCTCGTGCGCTTGGATGATGACGTCACAGCGTAGTTCACTCGGTGACAGGCGAAAAATGGAAGATGCGGTTTTTCCAAAACACCATTGCAGCCACTGTCTTTTGGCGTCAAAGGCAATGTTTCAGCTGCCATTCCGTAAGTGTCCACTTTGGTCATGTGATGTAGGATAAGGTGGCCTCATATGAGACATTGTCACTTTATGAGCAAAGTCTGAGGCTCCCGATGTCATCATAGTTCGATTAGAAGATGTCTAAATTGTCATACAAACACTCGGCGACCAATCAAGCGCGTACAGCGGCAAGCACTAAAAATGGTATTGTGCACGCCGTTTATTATAAACATTGACAGGCGTGCTGCACTCCAGTTTGGCAGCATTGGGCACGTCAAACTAACTGTTGTTCATGCTTTTTTTTTACGTCGATAATAGAGCCTTGCGTGATTAGGAGGTTTTCACGTGAGCACTGACTTGCCGTTTGTCCCGACGGCCTAGCCAGTGCATTTTTAAACTTAAAATCAAGACATTTCACTTTCTTCTCTCTATGGTTCTTCTTCTTTGCTTCTATTCTTATGGCTCCTACCCAATGGGCTGAGCCTTAGGTGAATTTTGTTTGGTGTTCCCTCGCAACACTTCTCGTATAAGCTAGTGATAGGAAATAAAAGAAATTTAATTTCTCAATATATGTATTTATACGCTTACAAAGATGATGAGTTTAGTTCAATATTTTTTTAATCTGACTGATAAATTCCTTCATGGCGTAGTAAACATCCACAAGACCGCAGCCCAGTGTAGAGGCGCCAAATAATGGAACAACTGATTCGGATATTTTCAGACCCAAGTTTCGAAGAGGTGACGCTATTAATCTTCTTCTCAATGACGTGTACCGGCGAAAGGATATAAAGTAATGACCTATTGTTTCCTCCTCCTCACAGAAGAGACACAGCTTGTCTTGATCTATGCAGGTAAAAACTGAGGGAGCTAACCCGGTAGCGAAATTTGGTTATAGTCACTTCCATTATACTTGACAGGGATAACTCACTGTTCCAGGTAAAAATTAGGCGCCTATATACTGTAGAAGCTGTCAAGACAAGGTCTGATAAGCGTTTTTTTAAATGTTGGCGTGCGGAATCGTGCAGTTTTAATGTATGCTGTTAGTGGGAAAACCAAAATGATGGCACCAAATGCTCCACCGTTGCTATTGTATCAGCACTTTCGTTTAAAAACAAACCCTTGTGTCTTGGCACCCAAATATATATATATATATATATATATATATATATATATATATATATATTGACATTGAAGGTGCGCTGAAACTAGTGTTCTGAAAAGCTTTAGAAGAGGCGTTTCACCAGATGCAGAGAGTGAAGAACACAGATAATGAGTCAGTGATAATTGCTACAACTGTAATTTAACTGATTATATTTTAGAGAGCTAATCTTATGGCCACAACTTCAGCTATTAAAACTGGGATAAGATCCGGCAGTCGTAAAGAAAAAGACCACTAAAGTTCAGGACAGAATATTCCTATGCCAGCATTTTCCCCAGTTTGCTATACATCTCTTGCAATAACCACGTTCGTTGGCAGATGATTTAGATGCTCTTGTAACAGTCAATTTGAAATTCCGTGAGGTATTACTTTGGCATGGTTCGGAAACATATCGTGGTATACAATTTCTGGGAATTTAGGTTGCATGGTCAAAGGACGCACATCACAAATTTGTACATTTAGAGATTCGAGTAATGCTTCTACAAATAAGATTTGTGGCATGTGGAATCAAGACCAGTGCTCGGAGAAGGAAAAATCGGGATTGAAGATTAAAACTATTTGGGAATGATTAGACAGTGTTTCGTAAAACCGTAAAAATCTGCACCATAAGTAGGTTGAATCAGCTTAACAGGGGTGGTGTGGTAGGTTCCAGGTATAATACTGTATTTTCTACACATTTTGGAAGGCCTAAGCACAGCTGTAAAGCCTGTCACTCTATAGGATTAGTGGCCGAAGCTGGTATGCTGGCGCACCGCAAAAAAGATCACAGCCGAATTCTAAAACCGGTCGTACGTACATTTTGTAGACCATAAAAAGTGCTTTCCTTCTCATACCTGATGTGCGGCTGCTCAGCCTGCGCAATGCACCCATTTCCCGTGCTCCTTGTGTTGTGATATATTCAATATGAGGTTACCAGTTTTGTTGTTCAGTATATATGACTCTGAGGTATTTACTTCGTCGCGATCAAATTAGTCGGCTTTTCATCTTCATCGACAATAGCACAATTCATATACAAGAAATACGTAGCTAAGCTGGAGCTTGGCAGCAATTCATTTGATCTAATGGCTTAGATGCAGAAATTATACGCGTTGTGTCATTATAGAAAAAGCACCAGGCCTGCGCGCCAGGCACAGTACAGTCGCAACGAAAGCTAGAGTATCAGCCTTTCAAGCATTTTATAAACACTCAATGGGTAACTGCTGCAATTACGCTCACTGGGTACTCACTAGAGCATTAGTATTCATTTTTTTGGGTAGTATACCGGCATTCGCTATGCTATCTTTCGTCAATCATCTGAAAAGCATAGTATCCGCTAAAATTTGCAAGGAATTTTGTACTAATTGTTCATGGAGTGACTGGCTGAAGACGACAAAAAATCATGCCTGAAGTGGGCATGCGTCAAAGTTATTAGGTTATCAAGAACAAACTTTTCTTATGCGTTAGAGCATTCAAGGACCAATTTGTTACGCTATTCGCATTCTGTGACGCCTGGTTGTTCCTTTGATGTTTTAAAACGCTTCATTACCCATATTAAGGCGTTTACTTCCACGACATCAAGCATGCCTAAGGCAAGTTTGCGATCAAGACCAAAGCACCGGTGTCGCTCAGGGGTAGAATACCGAGCTAGCACGTAGCGGACCTTGGCTGGAGCCCCATTGTGTCCTTAATGTATTTTACATAGTAAGTCTTTTTTACTCATTTTGTTCGATAGTGGTTATGGACATCGGTGGTGGCGGCAGCAGCGCAGGTGGCGGACAACTCGACGCAGCGCGTGACCAGAGTTGTGAACCCGTTACAGCTTTTGCTGTAAAAAAAAAATCAAAACGGCTGTTCCTCATGCAGGAGTGATTACGGCTCGAGGAACAGCAGAAACAATGATGTCAGTTTTTCTGAACCTCGCCTTCTCCAAAGAGGATTCTGCGCCGTGGTACTGTTGTAGTCTTTCATGGATGCTTGCGCGATAGCTTTCAGATCATGCCCTAGACGGTAAAGTTGAGATATAAATAAGCGCGAATGGCGCGGCGCGCTGTGTTATTTACATCTTGAGTTTGGTGCAATAAAAAGATTCTAGAACAGTTCTCGATTGTATAATAGATGGCTCTAGATACGTTTTTGTCAACATCCAGGTTACAATCACCTGAAAATGCGACACCACAGAGATTGGGAGTTTCGCATTGTTCACATTGCTTCCCATTACCACTTAACGTCGTGGTAACCATTGAAACGACTGCAATCGATACGGCTTAGCACTAGGGGGCGGGAAATGTCTGTATATCTGCCATGCAGGCGTTCTCGCATGCTGATACACAGTGGCAGCACCGCTTTCACCACTGGCGGCTGCCGGGCATACAACTGGAAATAACACGAACAGAACATTTCATCGATTACTTCATGGGTAAAGTTCTCGAATAGAGAGAAAAGCGAAAAGCCGAGAGGACGAAGGTTGCCGTGGAAGTCCTCCCTTTAACTCCGTGTGCAACTGGAATGCGCTCGTGCGTTAATTCAGGTCAGTTGGTCCCTTGGGCGATGCGGCCCTTCGCAAAATTTTGCTGAACATATTTATTTTGTTCTTGCGTTGTAAAGTGTTGCAAGTTAGGCGGACTGCTTTCTGAGAAGGACGACACTGAATCGGCACAAGGAAAATGATCTTTTTATTACCCGCTTTATATATACAGAGCAGAGACATTCACGTGGTGTGAAAGGGTCAATCAATAAAAGCAGTTTTAATTTACAGCTGACATATGGACACAATGAGCAAACAGTGAACCAAGAATATCCCAGCCACTGCAAAAATGATCAGCAACCACGAGTAGGAAATGTTGTATTTGACTTCTTATTACGGTGCACATAGCTTTCTTACAGAACTCTGGTACCAAATGAGACTGAAGTGCACAGGCATGGAGAGGCTGGAAACGATCAGAAGTTTTGCAAGAAAAAATTCCTCTGCAAATAGTATTTCGGCAAGTTGACTTGTCTTCGTCGGGGCAACTGCGCTATCTTGACGAAGAAATGTTCACTCGTCAAAACGCTGGCTTCAGCGAAATTTCCTGTAAATATTACTAGAAGTGCTTAGTGGGTTTGTGTGACACTAATAGAAGACTCGCAATTTCAAAACCGTAGCTACAAAAATTTCATAGCATAAAACAGCCTCTAAACACTTGTGATCAATTGAACTACATGCTCAACTAAAAAAAGCAAAAACTGTGTAACGGAGCCAACACAAACTCAAGCCTCCCAATAAACGCATTTTGCGACAGCAGCTGCAATGCCGCCCTCACCAATCAGTCTAGTGACACTGCACTTTTGTCAGTGCATTCACATTCGCTGAAAACTGGGTTTAGTGATGTGCTCATGGAAAATAAATACTAGCTCAAATAATGGGTTGAAATGCTTGTGCTCACCCGTTCACACTAAGAAACCCCAAATTTTTTTTTTCCTGAACAGGAATTACCCGATTTACCACGCCGCAGAGACACATCGAGATAGGTGTTGGCGCCCTTGAAGTGGTAAAAGACTACTTCTACTTAGGACAGGTAATAACCGCGGAGCTGAGCCACGGGATGTAAGTAAGTAAAAAATAAGAATAGGATGGCGAATATTTGGCAAGTATTCTAAAATCATGACTGGTAGACTTCCAATATCCCTCACGAGGAAGGTATATAACGGCTGCATCTTGCCGGTACTTATCTACAGAGCAG